CTAACGTAACTAACTAACGTAACTAACTAACTAACTACTACTACTACGACTAACAACGAACGAACGAAGAAGAAGTAGAAGAGAGAGAGAGAGAGAGAGAGAGAGAGAGAGAGAGAGAGTGAGAATGGAATAATTAATAAAACCAATTGCAATAATCCATTCAGATCACCCAAAAAAAACAAAAACCGCAAAAATTACAGATGCAAATCCAAACTTATTTGATCATGAACCTTAGTAGTGGAAGAAGATGAAGAAGAAGAGGAAGAGGACTCACTCCAACTCCGATTCACCATACTATCTCTCTTCTTCTCTTCTACTCCAAACAAAGGCAATGGGATCACATTTGAGGAGCTCTGAACACTGAACCCATGACCACCATAGCCTCCATGGCTCTGTACTCCGAGGCTTCTCCACGCCGGTGTGCCGTTAATGGGTTGGGAAAACCCTCCATTTTGCAGAACAGGCGAACCAGTCAGGCCATTGAAGCCATTGAAGGTGCTCAAGAAGCTCCTGTTGTTAGAGAGAGAAAGTGGGGGAGCAAGCCTGTGATGAAAATTGACAAGGCCTGGGTGGTGAGAAGCCATGGCTGAGTGCAAGTGCACCCTCTTAGCTTGCTGTCTCTCTCTCTTATGAGCATTTTGGTGGCCTCCTAAAGCTTGAGAGGTCGGAAAGTTCCGAAAGCAGTAATGGCACTCGAATTTGCGACCAGTTGTCGGGGTGTTTTGCTCTTTGGTTTCTTCCTCTTCGACTGAATTTTGGCTCGAATTCTCACCAGAATTCTGGGATTTCTGGTTGAATTCTATGCCGAAAAGCTTGATAGGTCGAGTTTCAAGAGTTGGGGCTTTGGGGTCATGAGGTAAAGGTTGAGGAGGGGTTGATCTAATGAATGGGAGCTGAGAGAAAGAGTCGACAGAGGGTGGCATCTCGTGGGATGTGGAGTTAGAGTGAGAAGACAGTAGAAGAGTGTTTGGTTCTTCTTCCATTGAGAGACTGTGCTGCATGGAACATGTTCTCTCTCTCTCTCTCTCTCTCTACACAAGAACTACATGTACGAACTCTATTGC